AGATAAATAAATCTAAATAAGATAATAAGTATTAGCAACCTTTAAATAGCATAAAAAAATTTTTCCCAAGTAAAAAAATAAAACAAAAATATCAATTTATTAAGTGATTTACATACTGAAAAACAGTTTTTCTTGATTTTCTTCGTTACATTTATAATGTACCAGCTCTTTACACATGCATTTTGGCGAAAGCTCTACCTCTGATGCACCTAATAGATCATTTTTTGAGTTAATAAGTTGTTAACCTAAGAGGAATCAAATAAAAGTAGTCAAAATAATTGCACATATTCAAAGAAGTGGTAATTTATAAAGAAAAGGTCATTTTTTACATTTCTCATATCATTTGATTTGTAAAAACCTCAGCAGCAGTTTTGTCTTAAGAAATAGTATGTATTGAGTTTAAGGTTTTGAGCAAAATTTTTAAAAATGCAATTTCGTCAGTTTGTGTAATTTGTGAAGATCATATGATAAAATTTTAAATGTAACAAATCATGTGACTGATATCTAAATCACTTGTATCACTATAGCTCGTAAGTACAGTAAATCAGAATTTTTTACAGTAAACCACTATAGAAAACATGTTAATTCCAATACAAAACTAACATAACTATATCTAAATCACTTGTATCACCACAATAGTCAGTAAGAATTTTTTACAGTAAATCACTATAGAAATCACGTTTATTCCAATACAAAACTAATTTAAATCACTTGTATCACCACAATAGTCGGTAAGAATTTTTTACAGTAAACCACTATAGAAATCACGTTCATTCCAACACAAAACTAACATAACCATATCTAAATCACTTGTATCACCACAATAGTTGGTAAGAATTTTTTACAATAAATCACTATAGAAATCATGTTCATTCCAATACAAAACTAACATAACCATATCTAAATCACTTGTATCACCATAGCAAGTAAGTACAGTAGACCAGAATTTTTTACAGTAAATCACTATAGAAATCACATTTATTCTAATACAAAACTAATATTCCATATCAAAATCACTTGTATCACCACAATAGTTGGTAAGAATTTTTACAATAGAAATCATGTTTATTCAAATATAATTATATCTAAATCACTTGTATCATTATAGCTTGTAAGTACAGTAAACCAGAATTTTTTACAGTAAATCACTATAGAAATCACGTTTATTCTAATACAAAACTAACATATCTATATCTAAATCACTTGTATCACTATAGCAAGTAAATACAGTAACTGAATTTTTTACTTCAAATTAAAAAATCTAATGCAATAAAATTACTATACGTTAACCTATAATAGGCAGTATATATTAGCTATTTTTTTTATAATTGTAGCTCTTGATTATTATTATACTGTATTAATTATGTTTTAATATTAAAGTTTAAAAGAGAATTTCATAATTAGACAAGTGACAATCACGACATTGATCAATTGATTTGACAAACACAACTTGATGCATCATAGTTTAAGGAAATTATTGAATGGATACATACCATTTAGCAAATTTGCAAATATAAAGTATCTTGCTAAAAGAGGTTTTGGCACTGTTTTTAAGACAATATAGATTGACGAATATATTACAAGATTTGATCGAGAGAAGAATGAATGGGTAAGAAGTTCTCAGAAAAATGTTTGTTTAAAAAGTCTTGATAACTCTAAAGATATAAAACAAGAATTTTTAGAAGAAGTAAGTATTATAATTTGTTTTTTATTAAAGTGCAATCTTATTTATCCTAATTAATATTTTATTAGGTTAAAAATCAACATAAACATGGAGACCTTTCAGCAATTGCGATTTATGGAATAACCAAGAACCCAAAAGATAGTAACTACATGATGGTTATGGAATATGCAGAGCAGGGAAGTCTCTAAAAATTGTTAGATAGTAAATATAATGAACTAGATTGGGCTTCTAAAGTAGCTAACTTATATTACATAGCTGATAGACTTAATACAATTCATGAAGCCAAATTAGTGCATAAAGATTTTCATTCCAGAAATATAGTCAATCAAACTATGTATAGTTCTTACATTACTGATTTTGGCTAATGTAAGCCAGTGTCACAAGACTCAAGTTCTAAAGCACTTTATAGTGTGCTTCTCTATATTGCACCAGAAGTATTGTATACAAATGGAAGAGAATACACTCAAAAATTAGATATTTATTCTTTCAGAATAATTATGTCAGAAGTTTTTACTGGATATTCTCCATATCATAATGTTCTACATGATTTTGGCCTTGCACTTAATATTTGTAAAGGTCTCAGACCTAAAATTAGATGTAAAGTTCTTCAACTGCTTTTGGATCTGATGAATAAGTGCTTAGACGCAGAACCTCAAAACTGACCAACTGCTAAAGAATTAGGAAATATACTGCATCAATTTTTTAAAGATTTGAAAAATGAAAAAAATAAATTATCTAAGCAAGTTAAAAGCATTAAAAACCTAGACAAAAATTTCTTAACATATAACCAAGCTAAATCGGCACAATTCAAATATTAGATATATCTACAAGTTATTTATACAAGTCGATTTTTGAATCTTTCCAATCTTTCTAAACCAGGTAATAACATTTATTTATTTTTAAAAAAAATTAGTAATATGTTACCAACTGTAAAAATTTTTAAATCTGTTAATATAGTAAATGCAGATAATACAGATAATGATATTTATTTTCTTAAACTATAACTTTAGTATATTTATATGTATATATTTTAGCAAGTCAACCCAGTTAACGCATTAAATTTGTTGAAGTTCTCGATAGTAAGTAATATTTGATTTACTTATAGTTAACTAAATTTATTGCTTATTTTTAAATTATTTTATATTTGTATTTAGATTATTAAATCAAGTAAAAGAAAATTATTGAATTGAGAACATTCTATTTATTATTGACATGCTACAATAATTCAGCAATTGTTATATATATACGTGCCTAAAGAGAAAAAAGAAAATTACCTTTTATTACTGTTGTTGGTAGTAGCCCTATTACTTTAAATAATATTTTACAAGAAAGCTATAAAATTAAAATCTAAATACAGAAACCAAAAAACCTCACAACTCTCACCGACGATTCTTCGTACCGAAATTTTTGGGAAGAATCCAACTTGAAAAACAAGAAACCCAATATATAATACACCTAGTGAAATAAATGAAACCATAAGCCAGCACCTATCGTTTAGAGGTAGTTCTCATACGCTACCTGCCGATAGGCTTAGAGTTTATCACTCACTGCAGGGACGGCAACTGTCGTTTAGAAGTAGTTCTCATATGCTACTTGCCGACAGCCTTAGAGTTTATCACTCACCGAAAAGAAGAGTTCTCTCCGGGTTGAGTATATTGGGCCCTGGCTTTGGTAACCTTCACTTCTTAGTACCAAAAAGACTAAGTACAATAATAACAAGAACCCTCAAACACCACCCACTTGGTTTGGCAACAAAAATTTTAGAAAAAGTGGGCAAAACAGCTTACCCCCGTCAAAGGATCGACATTGTTTACAGTTACCAAATTCAGATGATGCAGTGGAGTACAACCATGTACCTGGGCCAAATATGGGAACAGTGCCACTATTTCAGACTGGACTACTTCTGGAATCCCTCATAGAAGTTTTGAAGACGCATAATGGCGGCGGCAACCACTTTAGGAATGGGACCCAGAGCTGCGAAGGCTAGAAATTTCTGATCTTATGTGGTGAGATAAAATTAAAGTTAAGGCTTAGCTTTACATTAGAGATATGCAGATGTTGTATCTGTTATATAATTTTTACACAAATCTGGCACGGGTTATAACAGTGTATATCAGGATCCCCCAATCTTTTTTTATACTCTTTTCATCTTTGTTTATTTATGATGGAATCTTATTTAGGATATGTTCTTTGTATATTCTGTTTGGTTTATCCTTTCTTCTCCTAGATGTAGTTTTTCTTTCGTAAACAAGGTATATATGTTCTTAGCTTGTAGAAAAGTAGGAGATAATTATTCTGCCCGGACTTAGGTGGAAAAAGTTTTAAAGAAAGGACAGAGGATCCTGACACGGTATACAGCAACCAGTCAAGTGATCGAGGGGGGTATCTTTATGGTACAAAATCTGAAGCGAGTTTTGGATTCCTTTGTGATGACAAACAGTTGTTTTAGCAGGTCGTATTGGGTAGTACTTTGTACTCTTGGTGAGTTTTTATTAGACTAGAACATTTTGCTATAGAGATTAAAGGTACTTTGGCACTTATTGTATCACATAGTAGTTCAAATAAATAAAAACAAGATCGCTTAAAAAAAAAAAATAAATAAAGTTTATACATACCAATACTGCAATATTGTTAAATATAGTGATAGGCATTCAATCAACATGTATGGATCTTGACCTAAGGTTTATGCATGTAAGACGGGGCAGGTTTGTATAATAAAAAAATTTTAGCCACATTATATTTTTCTGTCAATATATAACAATGAAAGGTCAGAATAACATATCAATATTTACAAATAAAAAAAGACAAAATCACTTTGAAAAGTGGCATATTTTTAGAGGGTAGAATTACGGATATAAGATCTGTGACGAATGCGATCATCATTCACACCTATATTGTAAGACCTGTATAAAAGTAGCGAATGGAATATATAAGCGGTGTGAATGTAATAACAATAATTCTCAGATAATTAATGTTTAGTAAAAATAATCTGAATAAGCGATAGTGGTAGTTTAAACAAAATTTATCATTATAATTTTATTTATTAATGTGTTTGAATAAATTCCGCATGTAAAATTTATCTGTACCACTTACAAGGCTTATCGTTATGCATAACAATCCGTAGTCAGTCGAAACAAATTGCTCTAGTTTTATCCTTAAACCTGTAGAACTGTAAAACATACTTGAGTAAAATAATAAAATACCTATACATGTGTTACTTTATGACTTCAGTTATTTGCAGGTCATATGACTTGGAGCCAAGATCGCAATATTCGCTTTATTAATAATATAATAAATTATAATTGATTGCAATTGAGTGTAGTCCCTTGTACATAACAAAAATTTCTATTAATTACAGATATTCCTATTACTTTTCGAAGTACTTCTGCACCCGCTGTCTCTTCATTGCTGGCTCTTTCTCAACATCCGCTCTATCCTTTAATAATCCAACAATGACCTCTATTACTCGCTTCACATTTTTCTGTAATTCTATATCGGCTTCTGAATCTTTTTTCAAAGCTGACTCGCTAAACTTGATATTGAGAGGGTCTCTACTTGTACATGAAATCTCATCTGTTGTATAGAGAATAAAATACTACTTTGTGGCTGATGGATTACGAAGATGATGGTTAATATGGTCTCACCTATCAAAAAAAAACAGAGAAAATGTATATCTGTTGTTACAATTCCATAAATATAATCAAAGTATTCCCTAAATGCATCGTCTGCTTTATGTTTTTTCTTGTTTACTTGCAATGCACTTTCGCACTGGACCAGGTTCTGGGCAAAACCCATGGTTACTTGGTGCAACTTCCCTTCCGTGATGCAAATAAGTTCTTCAAGAGCCTTAATAGCATAGTCTACACGACCGGTGTTTTCTTCACCAACAACTTCAAGCTGAGGAGCTATACTAAGCTCTTTTTTTGTTACTCTCTTGATAATATAGAGTGAGGCGTGAAGGATAGGTAAAATATATTCACACCTCATGGCTTCGTTGCTATCAGCAAGTATAGTCCCCATGTTTCTCAACTTACGTTTAATTTCCTTTATGCATTGTTGCAATTCCTCATCATCATCTTTAAGCGGATATGTTGCTTAGAAACGGAACAAGGGTTAGCTCGTTTTGTGAAAACATACAAGGCTGAGGCTAAAAACTTACTTGGTGAAAATTGACGAATGGTATCTATACTATTACCATCTATCTCATGCTTCATTAAGATCTCTTTTAAGTCTTTTTGAGTCTTATAGGAAGAGAAGGGGCACTTTTTTTTCTCTTTAAATTCTCTAACGAACTTTGCCAGGTCTGATGCTAGTCCTACCTTTAACCTGCATTCTTGGAATTTTTGTTTGGTAAAATCAAGAAAAGTATAACCAGTTATTTCTTGGTCACGAATAATGTCGAAATGATGCTTTTTGAGGTTTAAGTCCTGGTTTTCTAAAAATTTGATAAGTTTATCTGTATCTAATTTTTTAATTTCATCTGCGTGTGTAAACGACTCATTTCCATTTGCTATACTGGAAGTAGAGGTTGAAACTAGAGTATTTGCTTCAGACATTGCAGGTGAAAAAAAATGTGTTACGTTATAGAGTGTATGAAAATTACTAAAAAAAAATGACTTACATTGTCAAATGATTAATACCCTCCACGGAAAAAATAGATACGTGATTAAAAATTCTCAGATAATAGAAAAGGATTAAAGTTGCTCTGGCAGTAACCTCAAGATGTATTTATAAACTATATCGTAAATGTAGACAAATATCGCAAAAACATACTGAACAACGAAAAAGAAAAAGAAAAGAAGGTTTTAGAAATTTATTTGAAAATCTTAATAATTTGAGGGGTAGTTTCTACATGATAGTATGTTTTAAGTCGAGTCAACAAATCTTGCAATCGCTATTCGTTTTAATGGTTGGATTCAATGCACGAAACGCACAGCTTTACTGATAAAAATAAATCGAATACATCATTTAATCTCCAGTCCATTCAATCTAACCAACCGATACTAAAAATTTACGGTTTATTATGCAAAATTTTAGAAATTATGTACTGTATTGCTATTCTGTATTTTATTTTTATATTTATTCTACATCAATAAAACTGGTCCTGGTGGCCCAATTTCATATCCATAATTATTATGGCGAAAAAATATATTGCCTCTATTGTTGTAATAGAACTTTTAGTGGAATCCCCATAGTAAATGTGAAAGTGTAGAGCAAGGCATTATGTAGACTATAATAAGTAAAAGTTTTATTTTAACCCAATAAAATCATGACCAATTTACACAATCATATAAAAATAAAATTTGGTGAGGGGGCACGGGAGCCCTTCTTTATTTAATATATTTTTTTTCTGGAATGGCAGTATACAAAAAATAAAGAAATTATATTTATTTTTTGTTTAACAACTTTTGGAGTTTATTAAAATCTATCGATGATCCATCATTAGACCTTGTTCTCAAACTTAAAGTATCACTTGTCTTTGTTCCATCACTTCGTATTTCTTCATGCTTTTCTAATAATAATAAAATAAAAAACTTAATTCTAAAAAATATATTTCTTCTTGCGCGAGAAGGCGGGATAAAAAGTTTTCTTACTAGTTAGAGTAATATCCACGGAGTTTGGTGTAGATGGTGTCGGGTTATTAGTCATGGAGGTGGTAGTGTTATAGGTGGTAGTGATAGTGGTGGTGGTGTTAGTCATGGAGGTGGTGTCATTAGTCGTGGGAGTTGTATTATTATTGGTGGATATTTTACGTTTCTAAATAAAAAATATAGTAAGTAAAAATTCGTTTTCAAAGACTATTAAATAGAACATTACTTTAAAATGAATTACAAACGGACAAAAATTATGTATGAACAAAAAATATTATAACCCAACCTACAAGAGACAAAAAATACTTACTTTTATACCTCACATTCATTAGACCTTAGAATCTACCAGAAGGAAAAATCTATTAGTAATTACGTTACCCAAATCCAATGCCGGTTTTTTTCTCTATAAAGCAACTCCACTCGGGTCATAAGTTCCAAACACTAATCTATTTTGTTATTTTTCTAGTAAATTTAGCCCCTCAAGATTTGACGATCACTTAAGGTGGGTTTAGATCTGACGATCTCGAGAGATGGCGGAGATTTGAAGTCCCTATAACATATGAATTTTGATAAAACTGCTAATAAAGAATGTTATACACATTGCTCTTATAGCCTTTTTAAGTCTCATTCTTATTGGGGATCATATATAAGGACTAGTTATTCGTAAAATTAGTTAAGGTTAACAGTTAAAAAATCGATGTTAAGGAAGTAATTATACATTAAGGTAACACCGCATAAAATTTAATGCAGGCCATTGATTATTAAAGCCGGTCAAGGTTTTATCGCATATTCGAACTGATAAACCTGAATATCAAGTGATGTGAAACTCAGTTTATACTCGGACGGCCTCTGGGGCCACATATAAATTCGCTAAGCCACTGTTAACCGCTTCCCAAGCTTGTTTTGCTAATAAAACAAGTCATACGATTACATTATACATGCAGAAGTTCCATGACCTTCGATTTTCTTCTTTGGTATAATATGTGATATGTTGATCGAACATCTGTGTTATGGAATCGATTTTATTACTAGACATATCAGACATTTTTCCGAGACATTATTTTTTATTTTTGGGTAAAATATCAAAAATTAGTGATATATCCACATGTATATAGCAGGCCCATAAGGCGACTCGAAGAGTCATAACTGTACTATTTTTATTAATAAAGAAAAGTGATCGAGGATCTTTATCTTTCCTCTTCATTTGTCGATTCCATATAGAAGAGTGGTTGACTGCCTATCTCATGCATAATGGCAGTGATAAGGATAAATTTAGCAAATCAGGTGTTAGATTACTGTTGGAGACAGCTACTTCGTAGTTAGAACTGTCTTGGCTCTGATTATTATTTTGTGCTTCATCTGTGGCCCGTGAGTAAGGTAGTAGTTGGGGAGATAATGTTTCAATTGGAGGCGGTAGGACGCTAATATTTTGCTCAGAATTTCTCATACCAGGGTTGTTTATATTAGTGTTATTATGGGGTAAAGCGGGATATGGTGAATATCTTTGACTCCTTCTACTAATAATAGATGAAGACTAGTTTAGTTGTCTAACGGAGGATCTCATACTCAATGCATGCTCAACTTCCTCAATAGATGGTGTTGGTGTTGTATTTCTCACATCTCTATTTTGCCTACGGTTTGAGGAATTAATATTGCGGATTCTATTGAATTCATCTTCAGGCCTCTCCCAAAAATGTGTACAGAATTCATTAAAATATTGTGCACCCGTTTGGCTTCTTCGTGCTCTTCGATTCCCTGCCATATAATCGCACATCAACTAATTGACATGAATTATTAGACATAAGCAAAAAAATCTGATCCTGATAAATTTCTTACTATACCATACTTACGTTGTAATCCCGAACAAGTTTTCTTTGCATTGATACCCATTAAAGCTCGTATTATGCTCTTGATTAATTCTGGTTGCAATGCTATCCCAAAATCTAATTCAATTCCTTCCAAAATTATGATATTTACCATTTCTATTTCTACGCTTATCAATAAGTACATGGATTTGAGAATCGGTCCATTCAACCATTTTTCGATATTTGGGTTCAATAGAGATTTTTTGCTTTGTTTTATAGCAGAGCTAGTGTCTATGACACATAAGTATATTTCCGACTATTATAACCGCACTTTACCCATATTATATTACGATATATTGTATAATTAATTATTTTACCAACCACATTCCAACCACACTTCAACCATACTTTAACTAGTGTAAATTTATGGTATAATTAACCGAATTCATATGCCTCGGATTTGCATATCTCGGATTTGTTTATCTCGGACCAGGCGATCTCAAATGGTGGGTGTTGTACAACCCAATTGCTAGAAAAATTAAAATCATTTGCTTGTAATGCACCCGAAATACATACATACGTGGTTGAGTTAAAATAACGCATATAATATGTTTACAGAAGCCAACCCAAATTTAGATATCGGTGAAAAAAAATCGTGTACGTACGTAGGTGTTTGAACAACATATAATACAACATATCGGCTATTCTAAATTTGTAGACCTGGCTCAAATATAACTTGTATAACAAGTTAAATTATTAAAGTATGTACCCCCCGTATAAGTAGTCTCAAATATAGAAAATATGCAATCTATTACGATAATTGTCGTGCCGAATTTAGTAAACATTTTTAATTATTTGTTTGTTAGTAATTATTATGTCGCCAAATAGTTGACTCGTGTTGAATTATCATAATGCCAAGTCGTTTATATTATATACTGCTTCATGTCAAATTATTATATACAGAACTAATAAAAATAGGCATTAAGTACTAGCTCACGCTAATAAAAGAGTTATCTTCACTACAAAGTTTTGCTCATTTTCAAGAGATCTCCTTTATTTTTTTTACTTTTTATTTTTATAAAATTGCTTATCGTAATATCACTATGTTGTCGCCAAATGTTTTATCGAAGGCCTTCAAAAGGAATCTTCGCAAAAAGGATCTACGTGCTACAAAAAAAGCAAAAATTGAAAGGTCCGATAGCTCAATCATCAATGAGGAGGTCGATTCTAATATTATAGTTAACCAAGCTTAAAAGAGATAATATTTTCTACAATCTGCTAAAAGTAAGTTTATTATATTTGGTTTTATAATATAGTCTTTTTAGGGGTACTTTTCGCCTTTTGAGGTGGGCCTGGGATCTGAGTATTCCCACCCCATTATTATTATGCTCTACTATTATTGAGGGCGCGATCGTCAAATCATAATTATCTTGTTGCGAGGAGAGGAAGACCGAACGAGCTTCTCATTTAACACTGAGCTACAAGATGAGAAGTGATTTGAATGTATTCACCTCAAAATATTTTTAACTTAATAAAATATATCATCTCATGAGGCGTTTTCTGAATATATATTCTTTAGCATAAAACCTAATCAGAAACCCGCCAGTCGACCAAAGATGAGGCTCGTGAATATATCTGTACTCGATGGATATCTGAAGACTTTTTTTCTAGCAATCTTAAATCAGCTAAAACTTCACAACCTTATACTTTGATAAATCAAAATTTATTTTCGTTAAAAAGTTTTTAAAAAGAAGGCAATATAGACTATTTACCCCTTTTTTGCCACCTCAAATAATTCAACCGACACCCATCGACAACTCTGAAATACCGATACATTATATATCAGCAAATTTATAAGACTATAATATTTCGTAATAATTTACAAACTATAAAAAAGCCGTAATATTACGTAAGAAATTTCGAAATATTGCGAAATATCAAATTACGAAATATTACGTAAGATATTTTGAAATATTTCGAAATTTCTTACGTAATATTACGGCTTTTTTACATTAAGCAAAAAATTTTCGAAATAGTTTGCATATATGCAAATAAAGCTACAAACTTTAATTTTGGGTTTCATGGCCTCCTATAACCCGAACATGCCTAGTATCAATACCAAAATCATGTACGTATATATGTACGTACGTAATCATTTCAATCCAAGTATAATAATATCAAAATCACGATATTTTTGAATTTATTATTATTATTATAAAATTATTTATTAGAATTTACTTAATTACTACTACAAATTCTAAGTCGAATTACTTTCAATTCAAATATTTAAATGCATTTATTTTTAATTCAAAATTTTTTTTTAATATATTATAAATTTTAAATGCTACCAGTAAAATGATAACTGCTCCAAGCTTTTGGAAGCTTTTTTTGCTTGCTCAAAATCTTTAATGTCATCTACCATTTTAGCTGATTTAGTGCTTCGAAGCCATTTTTTTTGTTTGGAAAGTTATTAGATTTTTTAAGACAATCGAGCACCTAAAACATAAAATATATTTATAAAAACATGAAAATATAGTGATAAAAAAATCTTTATACCTTATAAAGAGTTGTTTTGTACTTATAATTTCAAATTCAGATTCACTATATTCAGTATATTCAGTACTCGATATCTCATTATATATGTTCATTTTCGGATTTACAAGGTTAATCATTAAATAATCTTGTGATTAATTAAAGTTGGTCGAATATTTTCCTATAAAGTTTTCTTAGCTTCCAAAATAAAAGGATACTGAGAATTTCAACGCACCTAAATTAAAATAAAAATTTTGAAATTTTTTTTAAAAAAAATAATAATATTAAAAGATCTTTCAAAAAAACAATGCATCCACCTTCCCAAGAGGATTAACAAAGTGTTTGCATAATCTTTTTTTATCCTTCTTTTAAGTTCACATTGACAGTTACACCAATAGGTAAATAAAATAGTCTTGATTTGTTTATTATTGTATTTTTTATGGTATAACTATCTCCTT